GCTTGAGCCCAGGAGTTGGAGGTTGCTGTGAGCTGTGATGCCATGGCACTCTACCCAGGGGGATAGCTTGAGGCTCCGACTAAAAAAAAAAAAACAAACATTTGTTTACAATATACTCCCCCTTTATACCACTGAACTAAACTAACTCTTTTGTATGCTTTTATTCTTTTTTTTTTTTTTTTTTTTAATGAACAACAGATGTTTTTGGCTAATCTCTGTAATGCCTCCCTAATCTTATTTTGATGCGGCTGATTTTATTTTTTTTTTTTTTTTTTTTTTAGTATACCACCACCAAGACCAGGTGGAGGGAGCTATACCATATTATTTTCTAAACCAGAGTTAAATGCTAGAAAGTAAATAGTGACTATCATTATATTGATCTCCTACACTTAATCTGTTATCTTTTGACAAAGGGGATAAATAACTTCAGGTTAGTGCTTTTTGATACTAAATTATTTTCTGCTTTCTCATTGTGAAAAGTGGAGACAGAACTAAAAATTAGAGAATCAGTGATTTTAATTGTGTTATTTTTTTCTTCAAGAGATAGGCTGACATTTAACTTAATATTTCAAGCATCAGGAAAAACATGGATGTTGTAGAATCTGTAGAATCCATAATTCTGTTTTCTAAAGGATGCAATAGAAGTGTATTTGAGTATTTTTGAGAAAACAAAACAGTAATGCTGTATGAGGTTAACTAGATACCAACTACATCTTGTTAACAGTTTACTTAAAATGAAACTATTTTATTTTTGAAAGTAAAAAAATATATTTTCATAATTTAAAAAAAGGGGGCCAGTTTCAGTGGCTCACACTTGTAATCCTAGAACTCTGGGAAGCTGAGGGGGGTGGATTGCTTGAGTGCAGATTGAAGACCAGCCTGAATAAGAGTGAGACCTTGTCTCTAAAAATAGCTGGGTCTTGTGATGGGTACCTCAAGTCCCAGCTACTTGGGAGGCAGAGGCAAGAGGATCACTTGAGCCCAAGAGTTTGAGGTTACTGTGGGCTATGATGCCATGGCACTCTAACAGGGGCAACAAATGGAGACAAAAAAAAAAAAAAAGAGAAAGAAGAAGAGGATGGTCCAAGTATAGTGGCTTGTACCTATAATCCTAGGCTAAGGGCATCAGGATCACTTGAACCCAGGAATTCTAGACCAGTCTAGGCAACATAGGAAGACCCCATCTCTTTAACACACACACAATAGATGATGGTGGCAGAGAACGGCACCTGTGGCTTAGTGGGTAGGGTGCTGGCCCCATATACCAAGGGTGGCAGGTTCGAACCCACCCTTGGCCAAACTGCAAAACAAAAAAAAATAGCCAGGTGGGCTCGGCGCCTGTGGCTCAAGTGGCTAAGGCGCCAGCCACATACACCTAAGGTGGCAGGTTCGAATCCAGCCCAGGCTACCAAACAACAATGACGGCTGCAACCAAAAAAATAGCCAGGTGTTGTGGCGGGCGCCTGTGGTCCCAGCTACTTGGGAGGCTGAGGCAGGAGACTCGCTTGAGCCCAGGAGTTGGAGGTTGCTGTGAGCTGTGGTGCCATGGCACTCTGCCCAGGGTGATAGCTTGAGGCTCTGTCAAAAAAAAAAAAAAAAATAGCCAAGTGTTGTGGTGGATGCCTGTAGTCCCAGCTACTCAGGAGGCTGAGGCAAGAGAACCACTAAGCCCAGGAGTTGGAGGTTGCTGTGAGCTGTGATGCCACGGCACCCTATGGAGGGTGATAAAGTGAGACTCTGTCTCTTAAAAAGAAAAAAAAAGATGTTGGCAGCATAACAATATATAAGAATACGTAAGGAACTTCTGCAGCTATACAACAAAAAAATTATTAACCCAATTGAAAAAAATGGACAAAGGAGTTGAATAGACAGTCTCCAAAGATATACAAATGGCCAAGAAGCATGTGAAAATATCCTTAACATCACTACTCATAAGAGAAATTCAAATTAAAACCATAATATCACAGCTTACTTCCATTTGGATGGCCTCTCTTAAAGGAACAAAAATTGTTGACAGGATGCAGAGAAAGTGGAATCCTGTGTGTTGCGGGTGGGATATACAATGATGCAGGCATTATAGAAAACAGTATGGAGACTCCTCAGAAAATTAAAAATAGAATTACCATATGATCCTGCAATCCCTTTTCCAGAATAATTGAAAGTAGGATCTCAAAAAGATATTTGAACACCCACATTCAGTGCAGCATCATTTAGCATAGCTGCATGCTACAACATGGATGAACCTTGAAGACGTGCTAAGTAAAAGAAACAAGTTACAAAAGGAAAAGTACTGTATAATTCCACTCAAATAAAGCATATAAAGTAGTAAAAGTTAGAGATACAGGAAGTAGAAAGTTGGTTGTCAAGGACTGGCTAAAGGAGAAATTAGAATTTAATGAGTGTTAGTTTCAGTTGCAAGATGAAAAAGTTACAGAGATCTGTTTCACAGCAATGTGAATACTACTGAACTGTACACTTAAAAATGGTTAAGATGATAAATCAAATGCTATAAATTCCACCCCAGTTTTTAAAGTGCTACTAATGTTTGTCCTAAGTCCACCTCCCTCTCTTCCCTCATTACAAAGTATAGCTTTTGCTTTCATTTTCTTTCTTTTTTACTACTGTCCTAAATACAAGAGCCAGTGAAGCTAATTACAAATAAGACTTTTTTTTTTTTTTTTTTTTTTCAGTTTTTGGCTAGGGCTGGGTTTGAACCCGCCACCTCCGGCACATAGGGCCAACGCCCTACTCCTTTGAGCCACAGGTGCTGCCCTAAATAAGACTATTTTTTTAAGATAGAAAGAGCTTTCTGAAGCTCTCCAAAGCCATGGAAATATTCTCTATCAGTTCTTCACAGAGCCATCCACATTATATTTCCTTTTCCAGAGTGATGTTTTCTTCCTTTTGTCACATGAGATCACATGTTCATGTGATTGTCTATTTCAGTAATTTCTAGTGTTCCCCTGGGACATAAGGTTAGTCTGAAATGGAGCTGAGAATGGCTAGCTATGTTTTCCAGGTTCTAGCTCTTGGCTACTTGTTCCTCTCTGCCACCCTGGAGGGCCTTGCAGTGAGTGATCACCTCTGTTAAAGATACAAAACTCTACCTCTAAAGCCTACACCTAAAAGGGCTGGTTCCAGATTTAACTCTTTGTATAAATAAGAAAGCTAGCAAAGTCATTTTATCCTCACTGCATGTGGAAGGGGGGGAAAGTGCTAGTGATTTTTTTCTCTCGCAAGAAAACAGATTTCAATTTAAATATTACTACCAGGGCAACATACTATTAGATAAGACCACTATTATAATTATTTCTTTTCCTTTTTTTTTTCTTTTTTTTCTTTCTTTTTTTAGAGGACAGGATCTTGCTATGTTGCCCCGGCTGGCCTCAACATCCTGACTGGGCTCAAGCTATCCTCCCACCTCAGTCTCCTGAGTAGCTAGGCCTACAGGTACATGCCACTGCATCTGACCTCTTATTTTATTAAATAGAAGAATTAGACACATTTTAGAATTTAAAGGTTATTTTTCAGACATAGTAGTCTCCAAAATCCCATAGTTTTAAAGATTCCTTTGTTAGAAATAACATTTGCAAAGATAGGTTAATGGTTAAATTACTGTGTTATTTCTTGCTGCAGGTTAGGGGCAATGGGAACATTTTTCCATTTTATCTGGCTCAAATTTCTTTTTTTTTTTTCTTTGAGACAGTGTCTCACTCTTTCACCTGAGTTAATGTGCAGTGGTATGGACATAGCTCACTGCAACCTCGAACTCCTGGACTCAAGCAATCCTCCTCCCTCAGCCTCCCATCAAATTTCTTTTATTAGCAGTTAGAAAGACCTTTTTATTTATTTATTTTATTTTATTTATCTTGAGACAGTCTCACTTTGTCACCCTAGGTAGAGAGCTATGGCATCATAGCTCATAGCAACCTCTTACTTTTGCCTCAGCCTCCCAAGTAGCTGGGACTACAGGTGCCCACCACAATGCCAGCAGTTGTTTTTAGAGATGGGATCTTCCTCTTGCTCAGGCTGGTCTCAAACTTGTGAGCTTAAGAAATCCACCTGCCTTGGCCTCTTAGAACACTAGGATTACAGGTGTGAGCCACCATGCCTGGCCTCTTTTTATTTTTTCAAAGGAAAGAATTCATCCATTGTACTCAATTCTAATATGGAGACAACAGATGACTTAATACATGGTGGGGGGTAAGGGAATGAAGGCGTGGGGAGAGGGCAGAGGGAGGGGATTGGGGGTGGCACACAATTATAAGAGGGAATTTACCTCACAAATGCAATCAGTATAACCCAATTCTTTGTACTCTCAATGAATCACAAACAATAAAACAAACAAAAAAGAATTCCATTAGTTACCACCCACTAAAACTATGATTGGTTATTAATATAAATGGAATAATACAATAGCACAGTAACAAATGGAATGCTGGCTATGCAGTGTTTGACAGCTTCGAATTTTGTCATTTTATGCTAACCCCCCCCCATTACCACTATTTTATAAAAGAAAAGAAATATTAACACAAAAAAGCATGAGGTATATAATCTCAAAAAGGAGAATCCTTATCAAGAAAGGATATTTGGCAGTCTTACTGGGTATTGTCCTCATTTTGCTAATTTTGTGATACATCAGTGAAAGTTTTCATAGATTGGCATAAATCTGTTGACGAGAATTTAAGAACCATTGTTTTAGAATTTCAGAAGAGAAACTTAACCTCATGTGTCAAATTTAAAGACTTTTATAAATAGTAATACTAGCTGGTTTAGGTATTTTGGATCTCTAAACTAATTTTCTCATCTCTTATCATTTCTGTGTCCCAATGCCTCCTGCCTTGATTCAGGCTCTTATCCACTTACCAACTCTTGCTCCATCTTTTACAGAAGCCTCCTAACCACATTATTCTCTTCACTACCCACAGCAAGAATCTTACCATTCCTCTTCTTTAAAACTTTCCATTAGTATAAATCAGCCAACTTAATACAAAAAGTATTTTATAGCCTTGCTTCACCATAGCTTTCCAACCACATCCTATGACCTCTGTACTTTATTAATTGCTTAAATAAGAGAGAAGCTTATTTCTTTTCATGTAAAAGAAGACTGGAAGAAAGCAATCTAAAGTGGTAGCATGTTGTTTTCAGAGGCCAGCATTCCTTTCATGTTTCTGCTATATTATGCTAGCCTGTGTTTTCTCTAAAGTTTTCTTCATGCTCTAAGATGGCTGATAGAGCTCCAAATATGACATTCACTTTCCAGGGTGCAGACAGGAAGAAAGGCAGAAGGGCAAAAGTGCACCCCTCGTTGCCAAGCCAGTTCCCTTTACACAGCCTTTCCAGAGTCCTACATCATAATTCTGCTAATATCTTAATGACTATATCTGGCTGTAAGGTAGCTAGGAAATGGAGTCTTTGAGGTAGGTGTTTGTTCTCCTGAATTAAATTGGAATGTTTTTACTAGGAAGAAAGGGAGTAATGGATATTGAGGGGCGTTTTAGCATTCTCTGCTACTTATGTATGTTGTTTTTGTGAAATTACATGTTTTGTTTTGTTGTTTATTTGAGACAGACTCTCACTATGTTGCCCTTGGTAGAGTACTGTGGCGTCACAGCTCACAGCAAACTCAAACTCTCGGGCTTAAGTGATTCTCTTGCCTCAGCCTTTCAAGTAGCTGGGAAATTATATGTTTTATAATTATTTTATACTTAACATTTTATTGTGGACATCTTCCATTTTCTCCAACGTTAACTTAATGACCTCATAGTATTACCTCGCGTGAATATCTGATTATTTAAGCAACCCATTCCCAAATCCTCTATTTTGAAACAGGTGGGCTAGTTTTTATTTTTGGCTCTTATAAACAATTCTGTGATGAAATTCATATAGCTAAGTCTTTTTTTTTTTTCTGAGATAATGTCTCACTTTGTCACCTGTGGTAGAGTGTGGTGGCCTCATAGCTCACAGCAACCTCAAACTCCTAGGCTTAAGCGATTCTCTTGCCTCAGCCTCCCAAGCAGCTGGGAGTACAGATGCCAGCCACAAGGCCCAGCTATTTTTAGAGATGGGTTCTCGCTCTGGCTCAGACTGGTCTCAAACCTGTGAGCTCCAGCAGTCTACCCACCTTGGCCTCCTAGGTGCTGGGATTACGGACATGAGCCACCACACCCGGTCCCTATGGCTAAGTCTTATAAGTCATATCTTTAAAGGTAATCTGTACAAATGAAACCACTGAATCAAAAGGTATATGTAATTACGGCTTTATTACATATTTCCCAAATGTCTTTGAATAAGATTTTCCCATCAATCTTATTGAAAAGTACCATCAGTTTATTTTTTTTCCTCATTAAAGTAAAATACTTAAGGCACAGCAACATATAAAGAATAATACAAAGCATAAGTTGGTAATATTTAATATTTGGTTAAACTGACAGCCATTTAAAACACTGTGTTGCTGGGTGGCACCATGGCGCAGTGAGGGTACCAGGCCCATATACCAAGGGTGGTGGGTTCAAACCCAGCCTCGGCCAAACTGCAACAAAAAATAGCTGGGTGTTGTGGTGGGCGCCTGTAGTCCCAGTCAGGAGGCTGAGGCAAAAGAATCACCTGAGCCCAAGAGCTGGAGGTTGCTGTGAGCTGTGATGCCAATGCCACAGCACTCTACCGAGGGCAACGAAGTGAGACTCTGTCTCAAAAAAACCCAAAAAAACAAAAAACTGTATTGCTCAGGTTGAGTGACTTTCTTTAAAGTAAACTGCTGAAATGAATGAGTCATAACATATTGAATGCCTGGGTAGGAAGAGAAATGAAAAAACCAAGAAGATTGCTTCCTTTAAGAAGCATGAATTTTGAGCAATGATGGAGTTACTGAAATAAGCATATAACTTCCTAAAGTACCTTAAGGATGTAATTATGAATGTGAATATTCTTAGATTTCTAAAACTTATTTTATAGTTATACCTGTTTGCATCTGAAAAAATAATAAGGAGAATAATAAGGAGTATGAGATAGAGCATAGTGCATCTAGGCAGAATAGGTCTATGGCCAGAATTTAATCTTTTTGTTCTGAGAAATAGCAGGTCATCAAAGGCTTGGAATAATAGTCTAGGAAGGTGTTGCCAGGGCAAGGGTGGTTTGAGCCAGAACTCATATGATTATTGCCATGAGAACAGTTTATATCATACATAATTAATATTTGCTTTATTTCCTCTCCCAGATTTGGTATAAGGGGAAAGAAGTTACATTTTTCATCTTCTTATGCTCATAAAGCATTTCCCATTGCCAAATCCCCCAGCTTGTACTCTATGGAAAGAGAAGAGGAAGACTGTATAATTTCAGAAGGAATAATTGAGGAATACCTAGCATTTGACCACACAGATATGTGAGTATTATGTCTATTAAGCTTTTTACTCTTGTATTTCATGTAGTAATATCTATTTTTCTAAACTATGCTATCAGTATTATCTATAATTGGATATATGCCAGTTTCTCTTATTTTCTATTACTTCTCAAGTATCCAAAGTTTATAATCTTAGTTCTTCCTTCCATAGGCTTCTTTTTGTATTTTATTATTTCATACATCCTTTGCTTCTTCATTAGATTAGAGATTTTAAAATGAGTTAATTTTTTTCCCACATAGTTCGATTTTATCTGTTTGCAATTTATCACCAGTGGAAACCTTTTTAAATGGTATTTGGAGAGGTGTGAACTTGGCCAGGTGCAGTAGCTCATGCCTGTAATCCTAGCACTCTGAGAGGCTGAGGTGGGTGGATCCCTTGAGCTCAGGAGTTCAAGACCAGCCTGAGCAAGAGGGAGACCCTGTCTCTAATGAAAATAGAAATACTAGCTGGGAATTGTGCCTGTGCTCCTAGCTACTCAGGAAGCTGAAGCAAAAGGATTGCTTAAGCCTAAGAGTTTGAGGTTGCTGTGAGTTATGATGATGCCATGGGACTTTATCCAGGGTGACAGAGTGAGTGCTTCATAAAAAAAAAAAAAAAAAAAAAAAAAGAGGTGTCAACTTTGTTTCTATAAATCATATTTTAAAAAGGTATAGACAGTTTATTTAAAACATTATGCCTGAGGCCGGGTGTGGTAGCTCACACCTGTAATCCTAGCACTCTGGGAGGCCAAGGCAGATGGATTGCCTGAGCTTAGGAATTCAAGACCAGCCTAAGAGGAAGACCTCCATCTCTACAAATAGCTGGGCATTATGGTGGGTGCCATAGTCCCAGCTACTCAGGAGGCTGAGGCAAGAGGATTGCTTAAGCCCAAGAGTTTGAGGTTGTAGTGAGCTATGATGCCATGACACTCTACCAAGGGTGACAAAATAAGACTCTGTCTTAAAAAAAACCTTATCTTAGCACCCTTATCTTATGTCTACCCTTATGGTATTCTAATGGTACTTCTATGAGATAGATATTATTTGTCTTCTTTATAAGATAGATGAGAATCAGAGTGGTAAATGATTTGTCTAAAGTAAAAATACATCCAAAAAGTTATTCATATGATTTTAAATCCAGCGCTCTGTTCACTATTCTGTGCTTGCTTTCTGAAATATTGACTTCTTAAACTATTCTCTAAGCCTCTAAAAGTTCCAGAATTGATAGTCATAGACACAGGTCACTTAGGCATTCTGTGTGGTGTCCATGAAACAAACCTCTTCTTGGGTTCCCTCCAGACTTGCTGACTGACTCCCCTTCTTGTCTCAGCCATGTTTCCCTGTCCCTGCGTAAAGTCTCCTGACTCCTATCATAACACAAGCCAGATTTCCATACATAACACCACTGAGCTAGAACATAGGTTCTTTTTGCTCTAGAACAGTGATTCTCAACTTTCCTAATGCTGTGGCTCTTTAATACAGGTTGAGAACCACTGCTCTAGAACCTAGAATGAGCTAGTAGACCCCCTTCCCCTTCACTTTTCCTGGCCTACGTCCAATGTTTTCTGTCTTCCATTTCTCCTCAATCAAATATATTCTCCCTTGGTTTAAGTTAATGTCTGATAGGTATCCCCAGGTCATCTCTTTCCCTTTTTCTAATAATCAATCCAGATTAATTTTCAGGTAATACAGGGAAAATTTTTAGAAAGGTTTGGTGGCTCACACCTATAATCCCAGCAACTCAGCAGGTAGAGGCATGAAGATCACTTGAGCCCAGGAGATTAAGGGTACAGTGAGCTGTGATAATGCCACCATACTCCAGCCTGGGCAATGGAGTAAGATACTATCTCTAAGAAAGAAAGAAAGAGAGAGAGAAAAGAGGAAGGAAGAGACAGAAAGGAAGGCAGACGGGCAGACTTCTCTTCAGAGATATCACCAAGATATCTTATAAAATGACAGAATGATTGGATCTTTAAAATGTTCCTAAATGAAAAGATGGAAGGTTGAAAAATAAATTAAAACACCCATAGGAAATTAAGTTACATAATAATTAGAGCAAATGATTTTAGGCAAATGGAAAAAACCTGGAAAACAAATAAGGTTCCTAACTTATTCTTTCCATAAAAATAAATTTCAGGGTTCGGCACTTGTGGCTCAAGCGGCTAAGGCACCAGCCACATACACCTGAGCTGGCGGATTTGAATCCAGCCAGGCCCACCAAACAACAATGACGGCTGCAACTAAAAAATAGCCAGGCATTGTGGCAGGCACCTGTAGTCCCACCTACTTGGGAGACAGAGGCAAGAGAATCACTTGAGCCCAAGAGTTGGAGGTTGCTGTGAGCTGTGATGCCAGAGCACTCTACCCAGGGTGACAGCTTGAGGCTCTGTCTCAAAAAAATAAAAATAGGGGGCGCCTATAGCTCAACCAGCTAAGGCGCCAGCCACGTACACCTAAGGTGGCGGGTTCGAATCCCCAGCCCGGACCACCAAACAACAATGACGGCTGTAACCGAAAAAAAAAAAATAGCCAAGCGTTGTGGCAGGCGCCTGTGGTCCCAGCTACTTGGGAGGCGGAGGCAGGAGACTCGCTTGAGCCCAGGAGTTGGAGGTTGCTGTGAGCTGTAATGCCATGGCACTCTACCCAGGGGGACAGCTTGAGGCTCTGTCTCAAAAAAAAAAAAAAAAAAAAAAAAAAAAAATAAGTAAATAAATAAGTAAATAAATTTCAGGGCATTCTGTGGTGGCTTACATCTGTAATCCTAGCACTTTGCAAGGCCAAGGTGGGAGGATTGCTTGAAGCCAGAAGTTTGAGACCAACTTGGTCCACACTGTCCTTACCAAAAATGTTTTTTTTTTTTTTTTCTGAGACACGAGTCTCACTGTGACCTCCTTGGTAGAGTGCAGTGGCGTCACAGCTCACAGCAACCTCAAACTCTTGGGCTTATGCAATTCTCTTGCCTCAGCCTTCCTAGTAGCTGGGACTACAGGTGCCTGCTACAACGCTCAGCTAACAAAAATGTTTTAAAAGTTAGCCAGGTGTTGTGGTGCATGTCTGTGTACCAGCTACTGGAGAAGTTGAGACAGGAGGATGGCTAAGGCCCAGGAGTTCAAGGCTATAGTGAGCTATGATTATACTTCCGTACTCAAGACTGTCCAAAAGTCTCAAAAAGAGAAAAAATTTTGTGGCTCGGTGCCCATAGCTCAGTGGTTAGGGTGCTGGCCATGTGTACTGGGTCTGGTGGGTTTGAACCTAGCCTAACCCTGCTAAACAATGGCAACAACAATAAAAAAAATACCTGGGTGTTGTGGTGGGTGCCTGTAGTCCCAGCTACTTGGGAGGCTGAGGCAGGAGAATCACTTAAGCCTAAGAGTTTGAGGTTGCTGTGAGCTGTGACGCCATGGCACTCTACCGAGGGCACCATAATGAGACTCTGCCTCAAAAAAAAAAAAAAAAACACAAAAACTCACATATAGATAAAAAATGTGACTGGTGAAATCATGTAAATTTATAAATAAAAATATAAATTTAAATAAAATTAGTATTAGTCAACTTACAACTTAATGCCAGGCCATCTCTTCCTTGGGAAGGTAGAGTAGCTGTCCCACATAAGCCTCTTTGTCTTTTCTTATTTATTTATTTTTTATTTTAATAGATTGAGGGGATATAAGTTGAATTCTGTTATGTCTATATATTATATAGAGGTGAAGTTTGGGCTTTTGGTATACACTTCACCTGAATAGTGTACATTGTACCCCACAGATAATTTTTCATCCTTTACCACCTCTCCTGCCCTTCCCTGTGACTCTAGTGTCCATTATGCCACTCTTTTATGATAATGGCCTCCAGTACCATTCAAGTTGCTGCAAAAGGCATTACAGTATTTTGCCATGTATAATGTACACTTTTTTGTCCAATTTTTTTTCTTTTTTTTTGAGATAGAGCATCAAGCTATCACCCTGGTACAGTGCAATGGCATCACAGCTCATAGCAACCTCCAACTCCTGGGCTCAAGCAATTCTCCTGCCTTTGCCTCCCAAGTAGCTGGGATTACAGGTGCTCGCCACAAAGCCCAGCTATTTTTTGGTTGCAGCCATCATCGTTGTTTGGCAGCCCCAGGCTGGATTTGAACCCGCCAGCTCAGGTGTATGTGGCTGGCACCTTAGCCGCTTGAGCCACAGGCACCGAGCCTTTTGCCCAAGTTTTTAAGGGAAAAATAAGGATGCACATTATACATGGGTAGTACTAATTCTGTATCTATATAAACATTCTTGTGTTTTGCAATTATTTGTTACATAAAATTTCTTGTATTTGCATCATTAAGAAAATTTTGAAATACACAAAAATCAAGAAACATAAAATCCCTTGTCTCAAAACTTTTATAGTGACCCATGTATCATATGTTAAAAAAAAAATAAGTGCTAAAATTCCTTTATCATACAAAAACAAGTAACTAAATACAAACAAATAAAAATTTACACTAAAAATTAAAATGAATCATTTTTTTCCTGAACATTTGGGCCATAAACATAGGTACAAATTATACATGGCAAAATATGGTATTTCATTTTTTCTTATGGCTTAGTAGTTCTCCATGATACACACACACACACCACTTTCTTAATCCACTCATTGGTTGATGAGCATGTAAGCGGATTCCATATCTTTGCAATTGTGAATTGTGTTGTGATACACATAGAGGTACAGGTCTCGTCTTTTTTTTTTCTTTTTAAAACATGGTCTCTCTCTGTTGCCCAGGTTAAAGTGCAATGGCATCATAGGTCACTGTCACTACAAACTCCTAGGCTTGAGTGATCCTCCTGCCTCAGCCTTCTAAGTAGTGGATGACTACAGCATGCCACCACACCCAGCTAATTTTTAAATTTTTCATAGAGAGATGATGTCTTGCTGTGTTGTTCAGTCTGATCTCAAACTCCTGGCCTCCTGTGATCCTCCTGCCTTAGTCTCCAAAATGCTAGATTACAGGCATGAGCCACCATGCC